TTCATCAGGGGACATCTGTAAATCCTCAACATTATAAAAAACACAAAAACATTCAAGTGAGAGAAAGCACAAAAAATGCTAAACAAACATCAGTAACAGTGGAATTGCTGTCACCTGGCGATTTCTTTCCTCAATGGAGCTGACATGTCTAATCTTCCACTCCCCTCTATTTGTGGTTAACTCATCTAATATTTCAGCATCAACTATTTCCACTGATCCAACTCTGGGTGATTCTACCTCCTGTTAAAAAAGCAAACAAGCTCCTTCGTATCCCACATCGGAGAGCAATTTAAAGAAGAATTAAGACGAAATGGTGATAACATATAAAGTATGGCATCGTACCCTGAAAGACCTATTGAAAGTTTGTCCTGGAGCAGCAATTATTTCTTCGTATTCAGCTGCATCCAGTTCCCTAAGATGTTGAGGCTTGAACAGCTTGGGGAGTATATGCTGCCTCAATGTTATCAGTAAAAAGAAAGGCAAGGGGAACAGTATTCCAGCTATGGGAATCCATGTCACTCCAAAGCAAACCAAGAAATACACACATTGGAAGACTGTGAACAATACTATGTATCTGTAAGGTACTGACTCGACATAGGAAGCATGATCCCCCTCCAACAACCTGCCAAGATTATATAAAGGTTGCTGTTAGAAATAGTATATATTGACAGTGGAAGTTTCATGCTTTAGTAAAATTGTTGAAACAATAGTAACTTCTACTTACTTGTGCCACCTACTGGGTGTTACAAAAAGGAGTAAGATCCTTTCCCAAAATTGATTTCCTGGAAGACTATCAATGGCCATGTACGCAAAATATCCCCACAGAACTGAAGTTGGTATCTTTTTTATGACAGGCATGCCAAAGACTGATGCTCCAACAAAGATTGATTGTAAGAGATTGCTCACTCTCTGCTCCTTTACTCTTACGGGCAAATATGCTTCAATGTGTTTTTCAGGATCAAACTTACTCTTTTTGTCATGTCCTTTATCTTCCCCGTTTAAGACAACCTCTTTCAAATCCTCTAGTTCTTTGTCCACTAAATGTTTCTGCAAGCAATCAAATTCACGATCAAAAGAAAACTTAGCTACGTATCAATTGTCATAATTGGACAAGGGCAAGAGGATTAACGACTTATATGTTTACATCTGAACACTTATCCATTTCTATAAATACTGCTTGCATCTTTCCATAAATTTCAGAATTGCTAGCTTTAAGATCTATGCTTTCCTTGGCACTTTTAACCATCTTTTTTTGGATCATCTGCCATTGAAAAAAAAATCACCATATAAATATCAATTTCAATTATGATATTTACTAACACTCACTTATCCTATCCACCTGTTTCTTGAGAGCAGCCAGACTCTTAGTGTGCATAGGAGATTGAGGAAGAACTCCATTTGAAGGAGGTAAGCCAATCAATCCACAAAGCAAGGTCTAGATATTTTTATCCAAAGAAAATCATGTCGGATCACTAGTATAAATGATCATTAAACAATCAAGTACAATAGAGATATACCGTTAGTCCTAGCAACAATATGTCATAGTGGTATGCAGAAGGTTTTTTGAGATTGAATTCCTTTTGTTGTCCCATCTGGGAAGCAACACTATGGTCAAAGAAGTAAAGTCCCGCTATCATTATTGCGGGAATAAAAGCAGCAAAAATATATGACGGGGAAACCTTCCCCATATCCTGCAGAAGATGCTATATAAGTAATGACCAAAACTACTAAAGTAAGAACTGTTTTGACTATATGCATTACGAATTACTTTAATTACTGTCCAATGATATAACGTTGTAGACTCCCAAACAAGAGGAGAGGTGAGCCTTCTGGGAATTCCAGAAGGCACTTTACTCGGTACTGTGAATGATAGTGCTGTCCACACCACCACCATGAAAGGTACCCCATAGTCTGCAACAAAACTTCTAAACCATCCTGTTCAATAAACAAACCATGTCAGATTCCCCACTCCAACCATAATGTAGTTCAAATAACTTGAAATTCACTTAACAAACCTGTGCCATATAACCATGACCTTGCTCTTCTGCTCTTTAAAGATGTATAGAGAAGGCCAAAGGTGAATATAATGCCCATCAATCCATTTGCATACAGCCAATTAAAATGGTACTTTTCCAATGTTGGGTCTCCCTCTTTAGGAACATTAAACTCACTTACAATTCCCTGAACTTGCAAAAGCTTGTGTCAAAGTACTTTTCCCATGTTTTATGCCAATTCATGTTTAATTTGATATTCGATACCTAGACAGACTAATATACCACAAACTGACCTTTATAGCCTCTTGAATGAACAAGACTGTGATCAACATGCCAAAAAGCTCACCCGCGATCCTTGTAAATCTATTGATGATATTTCCAGCATTGAATATTGCTAGAAGAAACAACAAGAGAGCAGTCCATAAACAAACCCTGGGACGTTAATTATATCAATTAGACATTGATTTCACAACGAAGTTGGATCATATAGAAAATGTTTTCCTTACCATCCTGCCCAAGCTAAAAAGAGCTCTCGTCCCAAGGAATCCTTATCTTTGGCGAAGTTGTACAAATAGGTGTACATAATGATAGTGGGTTCAGCAACTCCTACGATTAAGAGAGTCTGGCCACCCAAAATCGAGTGTATGATTCCACAAATAGCTGTAGAAGCCAGCGTTTCTACAGTGCTCAAGCTTCCATCTATGTACAAACAACAACTTGTTTAATTTCTCTATCAAGTTTTTCACTTATAAAGAGAGTATTGAGTGAGACAAAAGAACTAATTTCTCATTTTTCATTCATACATTTAACTTAAAACCATTTCTTCTCATGCTCACTCTTGTAAAATGTGTGAGGGGTTCAAAAAACTTGTGCTATTGTATGAAACACACTCACTTTAAGAAGTTTTCATTTTAACTTTCATATAAACTACGATGTACCTTGCTAAAATACTTCAAAATAAAATCAAGAGCATTTGTATATAATATCATGAGATTTATTAACATATATTCATTCTTTAGAGGAACCGTTTAGAGAATTACAATTTTGATTTTCTTATACTAAAACATTTTTTTTAAAAAGCAAGTTGACGGAGATTACTAATCCTAACAAAAGTATTTGACAAATTAATCCTTTTATAAACGAAGTGTGTTACCATCGTTGGTTTACACATGCATGTTAAGACAAACAGGACAGGAGAAGAAGATAAAAAAAAAACCTGTGTCTCTACTTAGCTGCTCGCCAAAGGCAATGACTGGAAGAGCAGAAGCAAAGAAAATATAGGTAGTTGGGGCCAATATTCTGTCAACAAAAAGAGAATGTTCAATAAATAGTACTATTCTTTGAAAGTCAAAAGTCTGTTTAATGAAGATATGATATATAAGAAACTTACGCAGTTCCAGCATAAAGACCACTTGTCCAATCATCTTTATAGAACTCCGCTCTTCCTTGAAGGTCTTTTTTAACACCTTCCAAAGGTGTTTTTAAGCTTTCCATATCTACATCCACACTGTAATGAGTCATATTGATTAAAAAACTCTTAAGCATCAAAGAGCATAGAAAACGAGAAGCTGGAAAACATATCACGAATATACAATCATATATACGCCTAAGGTTTCTCTCTGTTGGCTTTGACTTCTTTTACCAACAAATTTGACTCGAAACAGGACACATGGACCATACTGGAACACTAAAAAGAAATGAAAAAATAAAAAAAAATGGAAATAAATAATTTCACACACGCGATTTACTTTCAATTTTTGGGATGTTCGATGAATAAGAAATCATTAATAACACAAACAAAAAACAATGGAGCTCATTATGAAGACAAGAAAAAAAATTAGTTAAACAATAAATCAGAATTCCAACAACACAAAAAGAAATCAAATTCATCACATTGTCAAATGTAAAATTAATATACAAATCAACGAAAACTATTGAATAACAAAAATGTATGATATCATGCAGATTAAAAACTAATGCATAGCTGTATGATATGATGTTAATACTTAATGCTAAATCGATCGGAAGAAAGAAGAGAGAGGAGACGTTGAAGTGACCACCACGAGGAACAGAGCAAAAGTAGTATTTGAATTAATTCTTGGATTGAGTTTTGGTACTTTTATTACGCATATGAGTAATGAAACAGGGAGACAAAATGAATGTTCTTCAAAGGAAGAAAATCATGTATGTTCTTCATTGTCACAAAAACTACTGTTTACAATTCTGAAAGCAAAGCATTCCACAGATCCGAAAAATATGTTATCTACCACACAATTTTTTTATATTTATTTAATATTATCTTTTATTAATTTTTATTTTTTATATTTTTTAAATTTATAAAAGTTTACTTTTTTTATAATTGTTTTATTTTTTTAATGTAAGTTAAATAAATATAAATATGCATTATCCTATCATTTTATAATTATGGAAACTAGGTTGTACTTTGACGTGAATAAATAAGTTTTAGGGTATAAAGAGGAGAGAAAAGGATGTTTCTGCAAAAAAAAACAGACTATTAAAATTTTGTTGAAGAATGTGTTCAGTATAAATGTCTCCCTATTTTCCTTCTAAAAAGATACAACTATTATATAAAATTACGAATTAATTCATTAATGATATGAACAATTGTTACATTTATGGGGTAGATTTCTTTTTTCTATTCAAGTCCACAACCAAATTTTTGCAAGGAATCATCACTCTTAATTTGTTATTTCACTAATTAAATCAACTATGAATTAATTGAAATGTTACAATTTTTATGATCTTTTATTGTTTGACGATATAAGAATGTACATTAATATTATAAAAAAAATATGCTTTATGAAGAGTAAATATTTATAAATTTTACAATATATAAAATAATAATCCATTAATATATTTAAAAAATTTATAGATTGCCAAGGAAATATTTAAAAGTGCAAATATATGTGACGTTAATTATAACAAATATATTTAAGATTGAAAATAGAAGAAATAAAGGTATATCGATGTATTGTTTCTTATTCCTCATATATATATATNTGCTCCAACAAAGATTGATTGTAAGAGATTGCTCACTCTCTGCTCCTTTACTCTTACGGGCAAATATGCTTCAATGTGTTTTTCAGGATCAAACTTACTCTTTTTGTCATGTCCTTTATCTTCCCCGTTTAAGACAACCTCTTTCAAATCCTCTAGTTCTTTGTCCACTAAATGTTTCTGCAAGCAATCAAATTCACGATCAAAAGAAAACTTAGCTACGTATCAATTGTCATAATTGGACAAGGGCAAGAGGATTAACGACTTATATGTTTACATCTGAACACTTATCCATTTCTATAAATACTGCTTGCATCTTTCCATAAATTTCAGAATTGCTAGCTTTAAGATCTATGCTTTCCTTGGCACTTTTAACCATCTTTTTTTGGATCATCTGCCATTGAAAAAAAAATCACCATATAAATATCAATTTCAATTATGATATTTACTAACACTCACTTATCCTATCCACCTGTTTCTTGAGAGCAGCCAGACTCTTAGTGTGCATAGGAGATTGAGGAAGAACTCCATTTGAAGGAGGTAAGCCAATCAATCCACAAAGCAAGGTCTAGATATTTTTATCCAAAGAAAATCATGTCGGATCACTAGTATAAATGATCATTAAACAATCAAGTACAATAGAGATATACCGTTAGTCCTAGCAACAATATGTCATAGTGGTATGCAGAAGGTTTATTGAGATTGAATTCCTTTTGTTGTCCCATCTGGGAAGCAACACTATGGTCAAAGAAGTAAAGTCCCGCTATCATTATTGCGGGAATAAAAGCAGCAAAAATATATGACGGGGAAACCTTCCCCATATCCTGCAGAAGATGCTATATAAGTAATGACCAAAACTACTAAAGTAAGAACTGTTTTGACTATATGCATTACGAATTACTTTAATTACTGTCCAATGATATAAAGTTGTAGACTCCCAAACAAGAGGAGAGGTGAGCCTTCTGGGAATTCCAGAAGGCACTTTACTCGGTACTGTGAATGATAGTGCTGTCCACACCACCACCATGAAAGGTACCCCATAGTCTGCAACAAAACTTCTAAACCATCCTGTTCAATAAACAAACCATGTCAGATTCCCCACTCCAACCATAATGTAGTTCAAATAACTTGAAATTCACTTAACAAACCTGTGCCATATAACCATGACCTTGCTCTTCTGCTCTTTAAAGATGTATAGAGAAGGCCAAAGGTGAATATAATGCCCATCAATCCATTTGCATACAGCCAATTAAAATGGTACTTTTCCAATGTTGGGTCTCCCTCTTTAGGAACATTAAACTCACTTACAATTCCCTGAACTTGCAAAAGCTTGTGTCAAAGTACTTTTCCCATGTTTTATGCCAATTCATGTTTAATTTGATATTCGATACCTAGACAGACTAATATACCACAAACTGACCTTTATAGCCTCTTGAATGAACAAGACTGTGATCAACATGCCAAAAAGCTCACCCGCGATCCTTGTAAATCTATTGATGATATTTCCAGCATTGAATATTGCTAGAAGAAACAACAAGAGAGCAGTCCATACACAGACCCTGGGACGTTAATTATATCAATTAGACATTGATTTCACAACGAAGTTGGATCATATAGAAAATGTTTTCCTTACCATCCTGCCCAAGCTAAAAAGAGATCTCGTCCCAAGGAATCCTTATCTTTGGCGAAGTTGTACAAATAGGTGTACATAATGATAGTGGGTTCAGCAACTCCTACGATTAAGAGAGTCTGGCCACCCAAAATCGAGTGTATGATTCCACAAATAGCTGTAGAAGCCAGCGTTTCTACAGTGCTCAAGCTTCCATCTATGTACAAACAACAACTTGTTTAATTTCTCTATCAAGTTTTTCACTTATAAAGAGAGTATTGAGTGAGACAAAAGAACTAATTTCTCATTTTTCATTCATACATTTAACTTAAAACCATTTCTTCTCATGCTCACTCTTGTAAAATGTGTGAGGGGTTCAAAAAACTTGTGCTATTGTATGAAACACACTCACTTTAAGAAGTTTTCATTTTAACTTTCATATAAACTACGATGTACCTTGCTAAAATACTTCAAAATAAAATCAAGAGCATTTGTATATAATATCATGAGATTTATTAACATATATTCATTCTTTAGAGGAACCGTTTAGAGAATTACAATTTTGATTTTCTTATACTAAAACATTTTTTTTAAAAAGCAAGTTGACGGAGATTACTAATCCTAACAAAAGTATTTGACAAATTAATCCTTTTATAAACGAAGTGTGTTACCATCGTTGGTTTACACATGCATGTTAAGACAAACAGGACAGGAGAAGAAGATAAAAAAAAAACCTGTGTCTCTACTTAGCTGCTCGCCAAAGGCAATGACTGGAAGAGCAGAAGCAAAGAAAATATAGGTAGTTGGGGCCAATATTCTGTCAACAAAAAGAGAATGTTCAATAAATAGTACTATTCTTTGAAAGTCAAAAGTCTGTTTAATGAAGATATGATATATAAGAAACTTACGCAGTTCCAGCATAAAGACCACTTGTCCAATCATCTTTATAGAACTCCGCTCTTCCTTGAAGGTCTTTTTTAACACCTTCCAAAGGTGTTTTTAAGCTTTCCATATCTACATCCACACTGTAATGAGTCATATTGATTAAAAAACTCTTAAGCATCAAAGAGCATAGAAAACGAGAAGCTGGAAAACATATCACGAATATACAATCATATATACGCCTAAGGTTTCTCTCTGTTGGCTTTGACTTCTTTTACCAACAAATTTGACTCGAAACAGGACACATGGACCATACTGGAACACTAAAAAGAAATGAAAAAATAAAAAAAAAATGGAAATAAATAATTTCACACACGCGATTTACTTTCAATTTTTGGGATGTTCGATGAATAAGAAATCATTAATAACACAAACAAAAAACAATGGAGCTCATTATGAAGACAAGAAAAAAAATTAGTTAAACAATAAATCAGAATTCCAACAACACAAAAAGAAATCAAATTCATCACATTGTCAAATGTAAAATTAATATACAAATCAACGAAAACTATTGAATAACAAAAATGTATGATATCATGCAGATTAAAAACTAATGCATAGCTGTATGATATGATGTTAATACTTAATGCTAAATCGATCGGAAGAAAGAAGAGAGAGGAGACGTTGAAGTGACCACCACGAGGAACAGAGCAAAAGTAGTATTTGAATTAATTCTTGGATTGAGTTTTGGTACTTTTATTACGCATATGAGTAATGAAACAGGGAGACAAAATGAATGTTCTTCAAAGGAAGAAAATCATGTATGTTCTTCATTGTCACAAAAACTACTGTTTACAATTCTGAAAGCAAAGCATTCCACAGATCCGAAAAATATGTTATCTACCACACAATTTTTTTATATTTATTTAATATTATCTTTTATTAATTTTTATTTTTTATATTTTTTAAATTTATAAAAGTTTACTTTTTTTATAATTGTTTTATTTTTTTAATGTAAGTTAAATAAATATAAATATGCATTATCCTATCATTTTATAATTATGGAAACTAGGTTGTACTTTGACGTGAATAAATAAGTTTTAGGGTATAAAGAGGAGAGAAAAGGATGTTTCTGCAAAAAAAAACAGACTATTAAAATTTTGTTGAAGAATGTGTTCAGTATAAATGTCTCCCTATTTTCCTTCTAAAAAGATACAACTATTATATAAAATTACGAATTAATTCATTAATGATATGAACAATTGTTACATTTATGGGGTAGATTTCTTTTTTCTATTCAAGTCCACAACCAAATTTTTGCAAGGAATCATCACTCTTAATTTGTTATTTCACTAATTAAATCAACTATGAATTAATTGAAATGTTACAATTTTTATGATCTTTTATTGTTTGACGATATAAGAATGTACATTAATATTATAAAAAAAATATGCTTTATGAAGAGTAAATATTTATAAATTTTACAATATATAAAATAATAATCCATTAATATATTTAAAAAATTTATAGATTGCCAAGGAAATATTTAAAAGTGCAAATATATGTGACGTTAATTATAACAAATATATTTAAGATTGAAAATAGAAGAAATAAAGGTATATCGATGTATTGTTTCTTATTCCTCATATATATATATATATATATATATATATATGGGTTTGCTAAGGCGCGTACGCTTGTTTTTCAGTTGGTGATACATTTTAACAATGTATATCGGGTTTTAATGGAAAATAATACCCTTATATATTATGGATTCTAAGTTTTAAGATTAAGGATATTTTAATAATTTTTATTCCCAAAACTAAAAAAAAGAAAACTCTAAAACTTTACTCACCTCTGTCATTCCTTTCTCTTTCATCTCTCACTTTAACCTTTTCTCTGTCATCGTACTGTAGCCCCAATTGAAAAAATCCTTTCTAAAGAGTTGAGTCATTGACATATTCATCTTCAGGCAAAGGTTCATTAAATATCTCTTCAATTTCACCATCTTCAGTAACCTCTCTAATCTGCATGTTGAATCATCATCTCTAAAAAAAACCTTCCAGGCCAATTACCAATTCCTTCGGATGTCATTATGCTTGTGAAAATTAGATAAAATTATATAAGACAAAAATTATAAAATGAAAACTCATATAAAATCAATTTTTGTAAGAAACTGTTTAACGAGTGTTTCTGATTTTTTCCAGGCCAATTATCAATTCCTTTGATGTTGTGAAAATTAGATAAGACAAAAATTATAAAATGAAAACTCATTATAAAATCATTTTTTGTAAGAAATTGTTTAACAACGAGTATTTTTTTTTTCAGGTCAACTACCAATTCCTTTATTCTTGTGAAAATTGGATAAAATTAGATAAGACAAAAATTATAAAATGAAAACTCATTATAAAATCATTTTTTGTAAGATTGTTTAACAATCAGTGTTTCTGATTTTTTTCAGTTCGGTGATACCTTAGGATAATAGAGAAAATGTTAGAGTAAAAAAGATGAAAGAGAATGGGTTGAGAGGAATGAGGGAGGTGAGCAAGGGTTTGGGGTTTTTCTTTTGTTTTGTAGTTTTGAGAATGAAAATTATTAAAATATCCTTACCGTTAAAACTTAGAATCCATAATATAGAAGGATATTTTTGTCTACTAAAACTCTTCGGTACACATTGCTAAAATGTACCAACTGAAAACAAGGCGTACGCGTGTTAACAAACCTCATATATATATATATATATATATATATCACTTTTANTAAAATGTGTGAGGGGTTCAAAAAACTTGTGCTATTGTATGAAACACACTCACTTTAAGAAGTTTTCATTTTAACTTTCATATAAACTACGATGTACCTTGCTAAAATACTTCAAAATAAAATCAAGAGCATTTGTATATAATATCATGAGATTTATTAACATATATTCATTCTTTAGAGGAACCGTTTAGAGAATTACAATTTTGATTTTCTTATACTAAAACATTTTTTTTAAAAAGCAAGTTGACGGAGATTACTAATCCTAACAAAAGTATTTGACAAATTAATCCTTTTATAAACGAAGTGTGTTACCATCGTTGGTTTACACATGCATGTTAAGACAAACAGGACAGGAGAAGAAGATAAAAAAAAAACCTGTGTCTCTACTTAGCTGCTCGCCAAAGGCAATGACTGGAAGAGCAGAAGCAAAGAAAATATAGGTAGTTGGGGCCAATATTCTGTCAACAAAAAGAGAATGTTCAATAAATAGTACTATTCTTTGAAAGTCAAAAGTCTGTTTAATGAAGATATGATATATAAGAAACTTACGCAGTTCCAGCATAAAGACCACTTGTCCAATCATCTTTATAGAACTCCGCTCTTCCTTGAAGGTCTTTTTTAACACCTTCCAAAGGTGTTTTTAAGCTTTCCATATCTACATCCACACTGTAATGAGTCATATTGATTAAAAAACTCTTAAGCATCAAAGAGCATAGAAAACGAGAAGCTGGAAAACATATCACGAATATACAATCATATATACGCCTAAGGTTTCTCTCTGTTGGCTTTGACTTCTTTTACCAACAAATTTGACTCGAAACAGGACACATGGACCATACTGGAACACTAAAAAGAAATGAAAAAATAAAATAAAATGGAAATAAATAATTTCACACACGCGATTTACTTTCAATTTTTGGGATGTTCGATGAATAAGAAATCATTAATAACACAAACAAAAAACAATGGAGCTCATTATGAAGACAAGAAAAAAAATTAGTTAAACAATAAATCAGAATTCCAACAACACAAAAAGAAATCAAATTCATCACATTGTCAAATGTAAAATTAATATACAAATCAACGAAAACTATTGAATAACAAAAATGTATGATATCATGCAGATTAAAAACTAATGCATAGCTGTATGATATGATGTTAATACTTAATGCTAAATCGATCGGAAGAAAGAAGAGAGAGGAGACGTTGAAGTGACCACCACGAGGAACAGAGCAAAAGTAGTATTTGAATTAATTCTTGGATTGAGTTTTGGTACTTTTATTACGCATATGAGTAATGAAACAGGGAGACAAAATGAATGTTCTTCAAAGGAAGAAAATCATGTATGTTCTTCATTGTCACAAAAACTACTGTTTACAATTCTGAAAGCAAAGCATTCCACAGATCCGAAAAATATGTTATCTACCACACAATTTTTTTATATTTATTTAATATTATCTTTTATTAATTTTTATTTTTTATATTTTTTAAATTTATAAAAGTTTACTTTTTTTATAATTGTTTTATTTTTTTAATGTAAGTTAAATAAATATAAATATGCATTATCCTATCATTTTATAATTATGGAAACTAGGTTGTACTTTGACGTGAATAAATAAGTTTTAGGGTATAAAGAGGAGAGAAAAGGATGTTTCTGCAAAAAAAAACAGACTATTAAAATTTTGTTGAAGAATGTGTTCAGTATAAATGTCTCCCTATTTTCCTTCTAAAAAGATACAACTATTATATAAAATTACGAATTAATTCATTAATGATATGAACAATTGTTACATTTATGGGGTAGATTTCTTTTTTCTATTCAAGTCCACAACCAAATTTTTGCAAGGAATCATCACTCTTAATTTGTTATTTCACTAATTAAATCAACTATGAATTAATTGAAATGTTACAATTTTTATGATCTTTTATTGTTTGACGATATAAGAATGTACATTAATATTATAAAAAAAATATGCTTTATGAAGAGTAAATATTTATAAATTTTACAATATATAAAATAATAATCCATTAATATATTTAAAAAATTTATAGATTGCCAAGGAAATATTTAAAAGTGCAAATATATGTGACGTTAATTATAACAAATATATTTAAGATTGAAAATAGAAGAAATAAAGGTATATCGATGTATTGTTTCTTATTCCTCATATATATATATATATATATATATATGGGTTTGCTAAGGCGCGTACGCTTGTTTTTCAGTTGGTGATACATTTTAACAATGTATATCGGGTTTTAATGGAAAATAATACCCTTATATATTATGGATTCTAAGTTTTAAGATTAAGGATATTTTAATAATTTTTATTCCCAAAACTAAAAAAAAGAAAACTCTAAAACTTTACT